GAGAGACACAAGATTCAAGTAGACATTGTTATTTGTTAGCGCCCGCAATCCAACAAACGTTTCTCGAGTACTATTATTAAAACAGTACTTGGTCGTGTTCTCGAGCGAGCGCTTAAAGCGAAATACACTTTAGACGCGAGCTTTCGGTGCTCCCGACCGCAACCGCGAACCGTTTTGTGGCGAAAGAAATCTAGAGCGCCGAAAGTTCTATGGTCCGGTCAGTGAGTGCGGAATAACGAGGAAGCCTTGAAAATGAATAATGAATGTACACGCGGCATTCGGACCCATCGATCCGCACGGGAGTGGATGTCGTCGGACATGCACTGCCATTCATTTCGACCGCTTTCAACAATCGATCCCTCGTCGACCGCGCGAAAGTATGTTTACAAGCTCCTTGTGCGCGTTTGCCGAAGCTCGGTTTGCTGCCGCACTTGACAGCGGAAACTTGGCGCGAGAAAATCGCGAGAAAATTTCAAGTTGAAGTCAAAGAAAATTGAGAACAATTAATTGCCGCGATGTTATTATATAATTATTGCACTACAGGACATGAATAATAATATACGTTATTGGGTAATGGAATAAAAGTATTTGTTTGATAAGGAAGCGTTCTATTACGATCGAAATTGAAGAGCGGCTTTTCATTATTAGCTTTTAATTAGCTTCACAATTCAATCGCTATTAATTAGCCCGAACATCAAGACAGTATATTGCATTCGCTGTATCGAGGCAATCAAATACGTGTATACGGTATTGTATACTGCAAGTTCATTGTTGTTGACTAACATTGCAGTTGCAAATTATCATTGCATCACGTTCGAGGAAAATTTGACAAACTTTAAGATCCTCGATACTTTCAGCTCGCCTAGATAGTTTCGTCGCTACTTGACAAGGGACATGTTGTAATTATCGAAAAAAAAAGGCAAGGATCGAACTCCAATTTCCATCGGCGAGCTGGTCCAAAACCAATATCGCAGTATGTTCGAATGATGTTCCGATGGGCAGTTGAATACTTCTACGCTGAAGTACGACATCGAACGTTTTTATCCTCGGCGAAATTACGGCCTTCCGAGTTTTCCGTGAAATGTCAGCGGAATTACGTTTCAGGGATTCGTCAAAGTGCAGGCCTTCTATAATCGAGTTATTTCAAGAGGTTTTCTCGATATTAAAATGGAAATTGTCGAAAGATTTTAATCGGCAAGTTTCTCGAGAAATTTCCGAGAAGTTAAAACGAGAATGTTAGAATATTATTATATAAATTACTTTCGCGTAGGTACTTATTATGATAATTTAATCTGTTTAAAATCTCATCATAAATCTCACAAATATTTCACTAAAAATGTATATTTTCTCTTTTAAGAGGTTGTAAGGAGAAATGTTACAAAATTGCATCAAAATTTAAAACGTTAACTTTTATAAACAGCGTCAGTGTGTGAATTTAAATTTTTAAGTTATATCAAACTTTGTTTCCAGGGACATTTGAATATCTTATACACGGAAAAAGATGATGTATCAGCAAGATCAGTGTAATTGAAATGAAATCATTGAAGCATCAGTATTAATAAATGAAAAGCATCAGATTGTTGTCTTAATAATCTGGATATTTAGTTCAATGCTTAAAATTAAAATCTATAGCAAACACAATTGAGTGAATTTTTATGTTTGTGGCAGCCCGTGACGTTAACGTTTAATTCAAGCAACTTCATTTTGCTTAGTTCAATAGCATTTTTTTCCGTGTAGTGATAATAGTTTTTAACTCGTTTTATGAATTAAAAAAGAATGATTCTATTAAGAAATTAGATAACTTTGCTGTCACTTTGGTGTCTGCATTTAAGCCAAATTACTTTGCTCTTAAAATTATCAAGAGCAAAGCATCATAAAAAGAAAAGTATATTAGATCCAAGTTTTTTCAAACGTTTAACTTCATCGATTACATATGTACGTATAAAATCTGCTGTACAGATGCGGTTTATCTTTGTAAATCTAAAACTCTCCAGTTTTGAAAATTTTATATCAGCGGAGATAAGATTTCTGCTGGGAGTAGAGAGCTTTTATCTCCTTTGAATTTTATTTGGTGATCCTTCAATCATTCTTATTCTTTCTCGCGAGGTATCTTTTATTGTATATACTGCATTCGTATCACGGGTTATAATATCCCAAATACCTTACTTTCTATACAATAGTTGTAAGTTGGCAGCTGAGATTTAGCGAGAGAACTCGTGTCGTCCTACTTAGCAAAGGTCCTTTTTGTTTTCCGTAAGAAGCGAAATGCATCTCCGTACCTGGCATTAAAGTTCTCTCCCGTGGAGCGTCTTGTGCACAATACAAAAGAAACCGACGTCGTATCACCCTCGAAAGTCAAATATTGAGAAAGTTAATAGCGTAACGACGTAGCTTTTAAGTAATTAACGTTAAGTTCCCCAGGCGAAAGTTTTCGCTTCGCCTTTGTCCCCTTGGTACGTCACGAATTCCACGCGGAGATTCGTCGCACGGCTAAAGTAAGGAGCAATTTTTGATAATTAAAATTGTGCAATCGCCAAATTACACTTAGTAATTTTCCAATTTCATTTCGTTCCCGTCGATGCGCAAAGGACATCGCTTTAAGGAAAGAATTCATGAAAGGCTCGACGTCTCTATCGCGTCTACTTTGTTGCGTAAGCTCGTTCGCAAAATGGATTCATCCCTCACATCTTTCATCAGGATGTTACCGAAATATTCTACAGGAGAATGGAATTCGTATGACGTACGTTTCGCTTGGCAATGCTCCCTGACAATTGTTCGATTTTCGCGAATGTCGATTTCAATCCAGTCACGTGCCTGACAGTGCTCTCGCATCACCGGCGCATCCTCGTTGAACCGCGGTGCTTTTCAGGACACGTTTTATATGAATGTCGCGTCCGTTTATATCATCGGTTTAGCGGAATTCGGTATTCATTACAGCAAAATGCACACGGGAATCTACGACGACGAGCAATATTAAATTTTAAAGTTTGTCCGAGAACAGCTTTACGGCCGTTAAAAAATATATTCGGGCTGATTTGAGTCTTTCCTTTTGTACAAGAGATACGAAGAAATAACCGACTAAACTTTTCCAGCGTATTTGGCGAGTCATTTTATATCAAGGCTATATATTGTATATACATATTTGGAATAAAGAGATTTGCCAAACGCGTTGGAAAAGAGTAGTCGGTTACTCCGCAGGATATTTTTCTAGTGTATGATATTCGCACCCACAGAAAAAAATTTCCGGATCCAATTGCACTTGAATGTATCATAAAATAGGATCGATATAGCGCCAATCATATTTATTATAGACAAAGAAATATTTTAATCTTAAGGTAGTTAGGTCAAAAGTGATAAAGTTACAGATTTTCTTTAAACTTGCAGCAAAACTAATTTAGATATTAATACGTATGTGTGTAAAATTTGGGTTTGATTCACCGTACAGTTTCCGAGACATAATCACTTAAAATTAGCTGTTCTTAACATTTCGTTTATCGCCATTGGCTGCTGAGGTAGAAAACCTGACACTTGGACATGTATTTGTCAGTAGCAAAAATCTATAATAAGGATTGAAACAAGAAATCGAGTATAGTCGTTGAATGTTTAAAGAAGCGTATGTTTAAATTTCAACGGCGCTGACCGTACGGTATCAGAGTATTATAAATCCGAAGAAAAATTTGGCTAGGTTCACTTTTTCGTACACGGTAATGCTTTGCGGGTGTGGCAACGTAGGTTATAGCATATTCTTTTTATTTTTCTGATTAAGTGTTCTCTGCGTGCTCGCTTCTGCTCTAACACTTTCTTTTTTATAAAACGTCCTTTATATCGTAACTGATTTTCCATTATGATAATTAAAATATCTTTTCACAATTTATCGCATTCACGATGAAATGTGATGCTGCCGCAATCAACGCTCTGCTGACACTGCGCAATTCAGAATACCATTCCATTGTCTGTAACTCCTTTTTATTTTATCGGTTTTTAATATCCAATAATGTTTAAAAATCTGTTCTTGAATTGAGTATAAAAGGATTAATTGTCTATTGAACCTTATTGACCAAGTCTCATTTTGACTAGCATAGTTGCACTGAAAAAAATTTCTGGTTGAATATGGACGAATCAGATAATTCCTTTAGGATTTACCAGAATTCCTTTAGGATTTACCAGAATTCCTGTAATCCTACAGAAATTCTGGTAAATCCTAAAGGAATTCTGGTAAATCCTAAAGGAATTATCTGATTCGTCCATATTCAACCAGAAATTTTTTTCAGTGTGGGAAAGAACTAACTTAAATGAAAAATTCTAAAATCTAGAATAAAATAATAGTGTGTATCGTCTTTTGTCGAATATCGTGGCGCCAACTTCGTGCGTTGTAAGACGGAGGGAAAGTTTATTCTAAACGCAAGAATATAAGTTATTTTTGTCTCAATAAAGTAAGTCAATCTTTTTCAATTCGACAGGGGAAAATAAGAATTATTGATTTTATTTTGATATCGTCTTATTTTTATACTAAATGAGAGAAATATAAAGGCGTCAAGAATATTTGTTTGTCTCGGTAACAGAAATCCTTTCTGTGGGTGCGCTGTTACTCTCGTGTGCTCCGCGAAAACTGTCTGTACGGCCTACGTGCGAGAATTGTTTTTCATCGGTCCCGTTTCCAAAATTCCGCCTCGCTCATTTTTCCAGCCGACCATCGATTATTCCGGATACCGATGACAGTCGATGCGTGTACGCTCGCATCACGTGCGGTGTTACAATCGGGAACACGGGACGACACGCGGGTCGCGAGGGTGACGCGGCCGAGCGTGGCCGTGGCATAACGACGCCTCGAAGATGGGAGAATCGCTCGAAAGACGACAAGAGTAGGTCGACGGCGTGGTGTCTCCCGCCGGAGGGTAGCGCCAGAGAAGGGTGGCGTGGCCCTCTCGCGCTCGCTCGTGGTGGGGTTGGCGTGGCGCGGAGGGTTGGCTCCGGCCGCGTAATCGCATCGCATGCAGTGGCCTGGCGTGAGTTCGCGCGAGCGCGTCGCATCGAGAGTCGCGCGAATCTACACCGTCGGAAGCACGTTTTGTTGAATCTTGCAGCCGAGATTTAATAGCGTGTCCTATAGATTCGTTCCCCTCCCCTCCGGATCTCGTTTTCGCTATCGCCTTTCTCTGGTTCCTTCTCGCCATCCGCGCTCACGCACGCGGGACATTATGCTCGCGGCCGACGATAGAAACGGCGTCCTTATCAACGGTGAGGCTGCGAGCGAGTCCCGATCAGCTGGCCGCCCGGAGAGCCTTTGACACCCTGGTGGTCAGACGGAACCTTTTAACGCGACACCACCACCAGTGGGATCCAGTCGATCGTAGGAGCGACTTGCGTCTTCGGAAGGTGCAACCGGGAACATCTTTATCCCCACCTCTCTCGCCTTCCTGCTTTCACAGCCTCTCGCATCTCGTATCCCGACCTAAATCTCATAGATCTCATTGTTCACACGGATCTCTCACCCTCCCGTGCGAGAACTATTCTCGCGAATGGAGTGTCGATCGTGATCTCGCAAGTGTGAATTTTCTCGGTGCAAAATAAGATCTCTTTCTCCCCGCTCATCCTCCCGTCTCCCCCTCGTCTTTCTGTCTGTCTCCTCGGAAACAAATTGTCTCCACCTCTTCTTTTCATTTGGCGCCGCCGGGAATCTCGATAGCGCTTGGAATCGAATTCGAGAGTTCTCCGCGGGGGAGAGATGGAAGCCGCCGTCGGTTTGAACCGTAAGTTTAACACTGCGCCCGCCGCATCTGTCCGTATCAAACAGCGAACGCTCACTTCTTCACGGCATACATTTCCGCGCTGTTGACACCAAGCCGCTAAACTTGCACCCCGCTGCCACAAACATCACCAGACTTAATCTGGGAGAAGATTCCGCTCCACGTCCGCTTCCCACCCTCTGCAAAGTTACATGATCATATCGTGATTGTTGCTAAAGAACGACGCTAAGGGGCGAAATTTAGTTAACCGTTTTTTTTTATTTACTTTATTAGAAGATTTATATTATGAATCACATTCTAGAAGATATTGAAGTAGAAGAGACGATTCACCGTTTCGCTAATCGTAGCTAATCACGATTTGCTAAAAATATTTTGCTGCATTAACTATAAATTTCTAAACCACGGCAGAAACGGTTCGCTGTTGCACCTAAAACAACCGGCACAGTAGCAAAATATTAGCTGTGACGACTAAATATTAGCTGTACGTATTTTACAACTGAAATTCAGTTACCGCATGCAGTGTTTAGCTACGGTAGCTACATTTTTTTCCCCCGTGTACCTTTGCTCCGTTTAAATTTACTCGAAACGACGATTTCGCGATTGCTTCCACTTCTCCGCGTGTATAAAAATACGGGCAAGTCGAATATCTTTTTACTCTCCGTTACGAAGGCGCTTATTTCTCTAACAGTTTTCTCAAGTTCTTTTCGCTGCGATCGAGTATCTCACGATCCACTTACAGGAATATTTAATTTGCGCTGCGACTCGTTCTCAATGGTGGAAGGAACGCTTATAAAATTCTGTTGAAAGGAGACGGCTAATGCCTTTATTGTTTCTGACATATGGACCGTATTTAAGTCACGATAAAAGTTCTCGAGTGCGAAATAATGCAATCGGCGGTTTTACCCCGAGAGAAACGTCCAAGTTTCCGCGAATCCGAATTTCCATGCGAAATTCAATGCGAGACGGCACCGACGGCGGTAGATCTGCACGGCCGGAGTCGAAACTTTATTAGAGGAGAAAAGAGAGGTCGTTTCGGGTGTCGGATGACTTGACGTCAGCGTTGTCGTCAACTTCTATCGCGGTCTATATTTTTTCGGTTCGGAGTATCTCAGGGAAGAAGAGACGTCCGCTCCGCGTCACGACGCCGTGTCGTCGTTATACGAGAAAACTTGGCGATCGTCTCGATTTCATTAGAACCTAACGACGGCGTATCTGACGGAATGTTGCGGAAATGGTTCACCATTCCTGTGGTTAACCCTTGATTACCTTGGCACGACGCGAGGAAACGCTCCCCACCGCCAGGATTTCGCTATTTCGCTAGAATTTTTCACGACTCGCGTATATATGCACTGGTTCTTTAATATACCACATTTTTATGTGCAACTCGATGGTATTCGTGAACTTTATATTACGGCGATATGATTCTTTCAACTCTAAACACTTCCATCGGAAAAGCGCCGAGTGGACGTTAACGTGGCATACGTGCGTGCTGTGTACAGGGTGTCCCAGGAGGGAAGGTCAATATTCTAGTAGGTGACGGTATCGGTCATTTTAAGCAAAAATGTTCATACGAATATACGTCCCGTTCCCCACCGTTTTCGAGATAGAGCACATTTTGTTGACGTCCTCGCATTGAAAACCTTGGAAAACACTTTACGATTCGGAATTCTGCGTGTAGAAAAGCGTCGACGGCACAGGCATAATATATCTAGACCGAGCATTGAGCAGTGGGGACAGAGGTTCGCGTAGAAAATGACTAACTCCGCTTTGTGCTATTTCGTTCTCTCCCGTTCGCGCGTGAACAAAAGAGAACGAGATAGCACAAAGCGCAGAGTTTGTCTTTTTCTACGCGAACCTCCGGCCCCACTGCTCAAATAAAGGCAAACGCTCGATCCAGATATATTATGTCTATGGTCGACGGTATTCTTCAACAGCAGCAGCAGCGCAGAAACCGTCACAGAAACCGTAAACACACGGCATATCTGCGTATTCGACATTTGTGAATATGCGAGGCATCTTGAACATTTCTACAATGTTGTCAGCACAACGGCCAGCGGACGTATAAGAGTAAATTCCCCGCAGACGCTTATGAGGTTGGATGAAGGATGAAGTGTACGGAAAACAAGTAAATGCACGAGACATTCGAGCAGCTCTATCTCGGGAACGGTGGGGACCGGGGCGTATATTCGCGTGAACATTTTTGCTTAAATATACTATCGCCTCCCGGAATATTGACCTTTCCTCCTGGGACACCCCTTATACTAGCCGCTCGTAATGATAATTAATACGGAATCTGGCATGCGCCTCCGCAGTTGGTATTATTAACTTAGAACGCAATTAGTTGCAATATAATTTACTGTTATTTTCGAGGCCGAACGCGGAATTAGCGCTAAAACTGGGACTGGTACCGGTATCCGTTACAATAGCGGCTGCACCGTCGAGTGGGACCGCGTTCCCCGTCATCTTCCTCATTGTCGGTGCCGCGAATTTATGCGAAAGCATTCTCATTGTGATGTATGCGCCTACATTATACACGGGTAACGAGCCGAAGAAAGCTTTCGCAGGCAACGGGTTTGCGATGTAGATTAACGCTTCGCAAACGAACGAGATCGATCCTCCGAAAGTCGGCATTGCGGCGAAAAACGTATAATCCGCTCCCGTGCCTCGCCTCGCGTTTGTTATCTTGCCAGTGGGTTTCTCCATCTCGTGCATTCGGAGAATGGCAAGTATTTCGAGTTGGCGGCAAAACGGAATCGTTTTCTTTCCGCCGCAAAGCGCAATAAACGCAAAAACATTTCACCTGCCTCGAGAAGTTTCTCAGCGATTACCTTCGGCCGCGCGGCCAAGATAACGTCGGGACTGGCCGGCTAATCAGGACGCGGGCTCAAATTAAGGGATATAAGGGATAATACGTTGCGCCGCACGCGAGATCGATTTTCCGAATGTTACACGCGATGTTACACGCGAGTATATAGATAGAGGGAAAAGTATCGACCGCGCCCCACCCGAATGACCTCAACCTTCAAACTTACCGCGCCGGAAAGCTCTTTCTTTAGGCTACATAAAGAATTTCTGACACTATATCAGCCCGTAATCTTAATCGCCACAAGGGTACGACGCAAAAGCATTAGAGCGAGAGATTGTCGACGCTACGTTTTATGTGAGCGCAAACAACTTCGTCGAAGAAGGAAACGTAACAGATACGACCGAAATCGAATTGTCGTAAGCTAACAATCAGTTGACAGTTTTAATTGCTTATATTTATCTCGCCGCATATCGTACAGATAACTTTTATCATTTAACATTTTAATCGCCGACAACTTTTTTCGAGCTAAATTAAAACGTCTTTCATGCTCGACGCGCGGGTAACTCGCCACGCGAAACCTTCATAAACATGATGGTTATTTTCACGCGACCACGAACCGTACGTACAAGTTGCTGGCGGCTGTAAGTCGAATTTTCCAGGAACACCTCGGCGAAATGGTGCGGAAACGCGAGCGCGGGATGTGGGTTCAAGCGGCTGGAAGCCATTTTGCCGAGGCTGATTACACAGTATAGAGAATTGCAAATTAAATCCGATCCGAGAGTCCGCGTGATTTAACACCACGTCCTTCCTACCGCCAAGTATCATCTAAATGCATGAGCCTGTTAATTGCCTCGGCACGATAGTTACCTGGAAAGTCGTTATCGGCGCGAGATCGCACGACGAAATTCTCGATCATCAGGCACAGTAATATTCCGCGGCGGACATCTGGATACGCGAGATGCGCGGGATTTAGCTATAACGCGCGGTCGTATTATGAAATTGTACTTCGCGATGAACCTTGATCCACTTACAAGGAAAGGACAGGTATAAGTAAACGATTATCAACCGTACTCCCAGGCACGTGGAAATATCTGTTATATCTGTTTGTGCACCGCAACATTTTCCGTACCACTTACGCATTCAAAACCGGATTAATGCGAACAAACTAGAAGATAACTACGGATTATTGCCAAACCAGCGCATAGAAATTACGTAGCTTATCGCCCGCTCGCGGGCTGCACGTTTATCTATTTTCATCCGGCTTTCTCCGTTTGAGACAAATGGCGAATTATCAAAACGCAGCGAAACGGGAAATTGTTTTAAACGCGAATGGAGCACATCGATCGACGTCCCCCATGGAGTAAGACCTGTTTCGCCATTGCGCGTCTCGTTCCAAGGTTTACCCTTGATCGGAAGAACTCTTCGTCGTCCCCACGAAACATTCATCCGTATCATAAAATTCCTTGATTGCGCTAGTACAAAATATGTTGGGACATTAACGTTCTTTTTTTTAATTCCCCGAGGCACGATGGCTCTTTCCGCCGATAATTCACCGTCGTAAAAAGGACGTTGTTACCGCGGACCAATGTCCGCCGCGCGAGTACGCGAGCCCGATTATTCTCCGGGGAATAAAACGCAACTAATTGAATGCGGTCGTGTAGGGAAACTCTGCATTGTGCTGCGCATAATTGCATAACTCGGGAGTATCGTCTGCGACAGAGTTTCCAATTAGTTGGAGTCGCTGTTGCATTATCCTTACTTACGCGACTGGACTGCTATCGTTATCGGGTGCTGCCTTCGCGAGCCGCGTCGCTCCGAACGCATTGTTCTACATTGCTTCCGGTACGTCTCCGCGAAATAACGCGAAGCGTGAATTTCGAAGATGGTCAGAGCGACCGCGAGTCATCTCTACGAATTTGATCGCGCGACAATAACGAGTTCAGCCCGAGGGGTAAACCGCTGACCGAAATAATGTACGCCAATGCCTACGCTGAGAAAAATTTCCACCTGCTAAACCAGTAGGTGTTTCCGATGGTTAATTTTTCCGATTAAATTATGTACATATCCGATGAAATTTATCTGATAAAATGCAGTTACCGATAAAATTTGATCGAAAAAACCTTTTTCGTCAGCTATACAATTTAATCGGATGCATCCGTTTGTTATTATGTAATTGGAATATCCGCGATTATATTGA